CCCCCCCCCAAAATTTAGCTTTATTTGGCTCAGTACATTCGAATAGCTTGCAGACAATTTACATTTCAGTTCAGCCCTGCCTGTTGTCACACACACAAGAGTTTATTTACTCGTCCCTCCCTCCCTCCTCCCCAGGTGCCAGACTTCAACAAAATGTACGAGTTGTACGACCCTTGCACCTGCATGTTCTTCTACCGCAACAAACACATCATGATCGATCTGGGCACGGGAAACAACAACAAGATCAACTGGGCCATGGAGGACGTGCAGGAGTTCATCGACATTGTGGAGACGGTCTACAGAGGCGCTCGCAAAGGCAGGGGTCTGGTCGTGTCTCCCAAGGACTACTCCACCAAGTACAGATACTGACTGACCCGTTTGTGCGATAATAGTCTCTTACTTATTACGTCATTTTTGGGCATTTCATTGTTGATATCATCATCATCATCATCATCATCATCATTCTCGTCTGTAATTTTAAATGTGGTGTCTGTATGGACGGTAGTTTTTTTTTTTTTTGGCCTCTCATTTTTTATATCATGTCCCTCATAAAATTTGAGGTCATGTTTTGATTGTCACTTTTACATGTACGGTACTGCGAATAAATATTTCCCGAAAGAGAAATGGAGTGCTGGTAGTGTGTGATTTTCTTTTTTTGTTGTTGTTGTTGTCCAAATATAAATTATTTCCTTATATTTCTTACCAAGTAGGCTAAATTGTGGGTGGTTGGTGGATGCTCTGGTGTGGTTTGTTTCTTCTTTCCTATCAAACATATATCATCCTTCTCCCCTTCTTCTTTTTTATTATGTTTGTTACTCTCTTGTAACACCCCTAATCTTCTGGCGTTCTTATGACCGTATGCAGTTGCGAGCGCCGTAAAACCTCTACCAAGACTAAACTAAGAAATTATTTCCTTATTTCTTACCAAGTCGGCTAAATTGTGGGTGGTTGGTGGATGCTCTGGTGTAGTTTGCTCTTTCTTTTCTTTCAAATGTTATCATCCTTATATATACCCTCCTTCTTTCCTTTGAGTTTTACTCACTAGTATTAGTAACCATCGGCACTTGTATTGTATGACGTATTCGTGTTGCGTGTGCCATATATAGAACTCTTACTCCTGCAAAAAATTTAAAACTTATCAATACCAAGTAAACTGATGTCAAACAAAAATTTTAAAACCCCAAAATAACAGTGACTTTTAACTATTTTTTAATTAATTTTTTTAAGTAGAGAAAGCGGCTAGATTTTTACATTTTAATTCCTGAGATTGATTGGCTGACAGTGCAGCCAAGCTAGCCAAGGCTGGGAGTTGAAATGGATGGACTGAAAACACTTGTACGCGTGTCCTGCCATGATTACTTTCACTTTCATATTTTTGAAAATGTGTTTTGTGCTCCCCATAACAAAGTTTAGTAGGCATGAAATAAACAGTGTAAAAGAGAGATATATATATATATATATATATATGTGTGCGTGTATTAAAAATGACCTAACCAAATAGGTAGTGCTCCTTGAAAATTCTGAACAACCACAATTCAAGTAAGACAGCTCTGTTGGAGATTTGAACTTGAGTCGTTCAGATCCTAGTCGAAGCACACCAACATTCCAGCTGAGCTAGCTATAAAGAGAGCGTTCATCCGAGTCATTATTTGCCTTAAATTATCAAATGTTAGAGAATTTTTCATAAAGTAGGCCTATTGCTGAAGAGATATATGTGTCAGGATGTGGTGGAATCAGGCGCTCGTCAATTGTTGAATATGTGGAGTTATTGGTATCTTCTTAAAACTTGTTCATATGTCTATCTTTCTATGAAAAAAGTACTCTAGTATCTTGAAATCTTGAATAGAAATAAAATACATTTGCAATTGAAGGAGGTGGGGGCCACATGGTTTCAGAGATAAAATTAGTTAGAAAATGGCCACTAAAATTTGATGACTTCCAAAGCTTATTGAGAGTCTTTGGAAACTGAACATTTACATTTTTTGCGCCTTTAATCAATGCTTTTCAGAAAAATCAAAACAGAAATGTGTTTTTAAATAGAGAAAAAAAGGTGTTCAGCCAAAAAACATGATTTCGATAAAAATTGCCAAACCGTCGGAAAATTGCAAACAACTTCAACTTCAATTTCATTATTTTGACGAGCGCCTGATGTGATTTGACCACGATGCCTCACATACATCAAACAAAGAGGCATTGATGGTTTATTGAATGTGCAATTGTCGAGACATACATTTGCCCCCCCCCCCCCCCCCCCCAAGAACTTGATCCATAGTGTAGTAGAACCATGCTTTCTTAGACTTAAACCAGCAAACCGAGACTCAAGAACCGTGGTCATGCAAACAGAAACATTGAAAACAGACCTGATGACAATTGCACAGCAGGCCAAAGTAGCTTACTGATCTCATAATCCCCGAGGGTCATTGGGACGCTGTAGGACAGAGAGCCTGGTCAGGTGCAAAGTGGAGGCAACAAAAAATAAAGGAAGACCTCCTTCCTAAATAAATCGTACTTTGAAAACGTAACATCCAGCAGTACCGTGGTATACAACTTCTTGAAATAACAACACTACAAAGAAGAGACTGGATATAATGGATAAGATGGAGGGCTGTTGGTGCAAGTGTGGTACACCAACGGATGAACAGAACACAACAGCCGTGGTGACTGTTGGCAGGTGATAGATACACTTGCTTCTGTGCTATCGATCCACCCAAAGGGAATGTGCCGGAGACAACCAAAAAAAACCCCCACGAACCTAAGACCCTCGTCGGTTTTGCTACACCTACAACTATTTCAATTCCACAACCACAAATGTGCTTGAAGATCTTGTAAACAATAGTGTCTTGCTTCACGCTAAGGAATTCTTACGAAAGAACAATTGGTTAAAATGTTAAAGTTGGTATCTACTCATACAAACTACTACCACAATTTTCTAAAATCATCATGGTGCTTTATAAATGGTCGCTTTTAAGCACAAGGGGTCTATCCCGAAAAATGCTGTTGTGAGAAAATCAAAGGTAAAATTTTTTCTTTGTGTTCAGTTTCTTTGAAAGACAAGGAGAGTTTTCTATATATATACTTAACTATAACGAAACAAATATACACACCAATGAAACCAAATTTCTATAGGTAGGGCAATGCCCACTTGTGGTGTAGGTCAAGATTTCTGGGAACCCCCAAAATCAGGGTTAGCCCGCTTGTCCTGAAAAGCGACCAAATTGAAATAGAGCCCACTGTACTGGATTAATCTCCATTTGTGTGTGCGCCCGGAGAAAAGTCTCAGTTGTCGGCAAAGCTATTTTTGAACAACGAGGTTAGAAGTAAAAGGCCAAAAAAGTCAAACCTGGTAAAAAATTTTAAAACCATTTCTCAATAACATAAGGAAGGATTTTATAATGTCTTAATTAACTCTAAATATTTGTCTTTAATTAATTATTTTTGCAACATGTTGTACTTCACCAAAGGTTAACAATGTGCTAGAAGAAATTGCGTCAACATACTAACATGAAAGCCGTTTTTATCCCAACTTTGTTTTACACCCTATTCTACAAAATGTGGCATACTTTTAAAACTATTCGAGATATTTGAAAACTTTAAAAATTGGCGTGTTCAGCATTGAATTTGCTACAAAAATATGCTCTTATTTCAAGATCCAAAATTTTCAACGACTGGAATTTTTTTCCATGCTCACACACAAATTTGAAATGCACAAAACACACACAAAAAAAAACTAAACACCAGGTTTATTCTCTCTTTAAAATGTTTTTTATTGTTTCGCATAAAAATAAAATACACATTTCAAAAGTTTGACTTTTGAAAACTAATTTATCATCAGACTGGTTCTTTTCATCATGAAGCACCTTGACAAAGAGAAAAGAAGTAGATCTAATAGTGTAAAAGTTGAAAATTTTCTTTTTGCTATTTTATACAAGTCAAATTTTTTTAGGGGAGTTTGTTGTTTTCTTTTTAAATAAGTAGCAATCGACTACTTAGTCTAAAAACCGCTCTGCTCGACCATTTCTTCAGTCTGACAACGTATAGCTCACATAATATTCTGGTTCTTACGATAAAAAGCAGAGGACTTGATCCCACTTTCTGTGGCCTAGAATACATGACACCACTGGCAATTCAATTGATCAAATTACTGACCTCATTAAATTCATCACTATTAGAGAGATACAAATTACCAAATTAACTCATTACTACATCATTGGAAGTTCAATCTGTTATCTTCAATAACTCACAAAAGCTGAGCATTCAAAAATATCGTCACACACAAAATACATTTTCCACATTTCCCTCATAAAATGAACTGCATTCTTTTGACCAGTTAACAAAAATGTGCGGACAAAAAGAAAATCAAATGCAAAAAAAACCCATTAAAAATTCTTTAATACATCATGTACAGAGAAATCCCCCTATAAAGAACATCCACAACCAGACTTTCCAGGTATACTTTAATTAAGCAATAGTAATCAAAACTCCACCAAGAGTAAGATTGAAGTAAAATAGGGTCCAAGTTACGCTTGATTTTCTAGAGGGTTTTTCGTATGCAAAATTTTTTTAAAGAAAAAAAAAAAAAATTTGTGAGCCATTGCGTTGAAATCAGGTGCTCGTCAAAATAATGAAATCCAAGATATTGGCATTTTCCCACCTGTTTGGAAATTTTTATTGATTTTTATGTTTTTCGGTCAAACATCTTCTATGTCCATATTATAACACATTTCTGTGGGGATTTTACAGAAAAACTGAGAGCAAAAGCACAAAAAAGTAAATTTTCAGTTTCCAAAAACTCTCAAACTGTAAATTATCAAACTTTGGCAGCCATTTTCTCTCTGACTTTATCTTTGAAATCAAGTGACCCCACCCCGTTCAAACGCAGATATCTCGACTTGTATTCGAGATAGACGGGTATTTTTAAAAATCAAAAGATAGACAAATGAACATGCTCTAACCTTATCCGTACGCCCTGGGGTCATTTTGTACCCCTCGGGGTTGTATTCTTCACATTTTAGAATACTTCTAGTACGAAGATCTCTTTGAAACTTTCACTTTAAGTAGTATTTCTCAAAAAATAATTTTGGCAGACTGCTATGCAAAGCGTAAAGATCGGATTAACAAGTAAATTTCCTCTTCGGAAAGTGGTGGCACAGAGTTCCCCGCGTCGTAAGGATACGATAGTAAAACACGACGTACAGATAGGGTTAAGATGATACCAATAACCTGATATGGCCAAAAATTGACGAGCGCCTGAATCCACCGCGTCGTGACCCATTTGAAAATAACTGGACTCCACTGTACCAGGAGGGGCTGATTCCCTTCCTCTGCTCACTCCCAATAAGACACACAGACAAAGATAAATGATTCATCATGGAATTCAATCAAAATATATATGTATTAATTTATTTGTCTCATTACTTGCTGAATCAGAAAAACCAAGATATTTTTTTTTTTAAACCAAAAAAACTGAACCCACCACTTAATAAAATGAATGTATGTTGCAAGAAGAAAGGAAAATTGTCACAGAAGAAAACTCAAAAACCTACCAACCCCTTCTCTTCCATGCAGATAATCTTCAAAATATTAAATACATATATATATTTATTGAAAGTGAATAAGTATAGAATAAAA